TGAGATCAGAACTCCTTGATAATCAGTCAAATTAGACAACCTAGGCATCTGACAGCTGTTCCATTTACAGAGGTGATTGAAAGCTTAGATGAACATCAACTTTGTGAACACAAAGCATGTTGCTTCCCCTTGTTCTCCAGCAGAGGGGGCTAACAAATACAGAATTATTGCTCTGCTCAGAAAAAGCTAAACAATTACCACAAAATTGTTGCAAGGACAATCCTGAAATAATGTAGCTTAAAGCAGCAGCTAGCAGGTGGGCTAGCTCTAATACACATTTGAGATGATCTGCATGAATTAAACATATTGTGACCATTTATAGATTATGTTTATGATACAGATTGATCATCCCTGTGTAACTAAATGACGATATTGATAAATTATTACGAGTACCTGTGTATTATTTGAATACCTTAGTAATGAATGCAAATTATGGGTATTTTTATATATAGCTTCAAGCAAAGTTTCTTATGAAACACATTTCTATTTCTATTCATAGTCATGTAACTGCAGTTAAGTTTAAGTTTAAGTTTAAACTGTTCCTAAAATACAAACTAGCCAAAAAATATCCACTGGCTTTTTAAAAGTTGTTTTAGGGCAGTGTTGAGAATAATAACATAGAACAACGATCACACTGACAATACACATCTACTGTGGTGGTCCAACACTCTTGCGTAGCACTGTTTATTTACATGTTCTCTGAATTTAGTCAAATGTTCAGCAGAGGACAGAAAGACTCCACAGTCCTCTCCATTTCACTGCGGCCACAGATGGGAAAGATAAATGGCTGATGTCTACCAAGAATCACGTCATAGTCTGCACAGCCCAGTGCTGACTGCTACTGGAGAAGTTGTGATTAAAAAAAAATAGAATAGCATTGACAGTGACCAAAGTGTTATTGCATTTTAAACTTCTTCGCAATTCTTCTATTTTCTGCCATCTGCCGTTACATCCTAGAAAAACTGCACCAAGTTGTGAATTCCCCATTTATGGGTTTTTTTGTTTGTTTGTTTTGGTTTTTTTGGCAATGTAATTTCAGAAGATGAGATTTATTTCGTGAATGGTTGAAAACGGCGGTTCTCAAACTATGGAATGCATTCCACTTGTGGTACTTTGGCTCCCCTTGGTGGTATGACCGATGGCTAATATGTTGAACTACCAAAATCTTTTCCTGAAAATGTATAACGTAGGCTGGACAGAAAGAGCAGAGGCAGTTTCGTTTTCAAAAGGTTTTTGACTTTTAATAAGATGATAAAACGTGTTAAGACACGTCTCTCAGGCGTCTACAACAGCTTTGACAAGTTTTATCATATCTTCGTTAAGCGTCGAGTAGTGTTTTTTTTTACCACTGGTCAACGTTTTTACTCTCGATATGAGCAATTTTGAAATAAGAGCGAATATCAAATTATTAACCAAGCTGAAATGGAAACATGCTCAAATTGTGGAGGCTTTACAGCAGGTTTACGGAGAGTCTTCACCACCCAGAGCTGTTGTTAATGCTTGGATCAAGAGATTTAAAGAGGTTAAGGAAGAAGACCCGGTGGAAGGAGGGTCTTCCACAGCCACAGATGATCAAAACGTCGTGCCGGTGAGGAATCTGGTGGAAGTGGATCGCCGAAAAACAGTCGACGCCATCGCTTTTTCAATCATGACCGAAGATCGAGGTCTCAGTAAGTTTTTTAGGTCTGTCAATGCCCGATTTGCAGTACCTGCCCGATTTGCAGCATTTCCTTTTCCGCATGCGCACACTGGTCGCCATCTTGGACAGCGATATACGGCAATTACACATGGACAAACTTCAGACACTCAATACCGTGACATTTTCAGTAAATGCCGTTTGTCCGTGTTCAAGAGGGGGGGCCTGGTCGGGATTGACAAGCTCGTTGCATCCCACAGCGTTGAACGAGACACACGATTAAATCGTTATGACTAAATAAATCAATAAAATAAAATTTAATTTTTAATGGGTTATTTAATTGGGGTTATTTCTTGTCTAATTTTAGCTTTTAGTTACAGTTACTTGTTTAAAATATTGTTTTGAAGGCACAGTTGTTTAACATAAATCATATATTGGGAAATTATGCAAATTAATAAAACAATTAACTATTTAACTAACCAACTACTAGTTAATTGGATAGTGAACCCGAAATTAGAAGCTCACAAAATGTAATACTCTTCCAGCTGGGGGCGACGTTGGACTCTATCGTGTTACCTAGGCTTATCGGCGCGTTCACTGACTTCACTGTTAATCGAATGTTCTAAAATAAAGTGTCATCGTTTTAAAATTGTGCACAATATTGTCAAGTTTTTGAACATTGGAAGTATGTATGAAATCATACAAGATGAGCCGAAAGGATATAATAATTCGTGTTGTTATTTAACACTTAAAACTGCAAATATTCCAGATAGATTTTATAGCTTACGCGTCTCTTTGAACACATCAACTGCATTAGGTTATCATTGTGAAGGGAGCAGCTGTCACGCTTGTGAGTAGACGCCGAGTCAAATATACAAGCCTGAGACACATATTCTTACTAAACAAGGTAAGACATATTCATTTCTTTATAAAAACATATGACAATATACAAAGCGTCGTCTAGGCTAACCGTAACGTAAAGAAATACTAAATCGCCTCATTAGCATGTGGCCGGAGTTAGCTGATGTTAGCTTACGTGCTATCGATGTTTCGGCTGCTTGACACAAACGGTAAACGTTTAAAGTTCACAAAAAGAGCCATACATTGTGTACTCCCAGTCACAGTGAGCCAGACTGTTATATCGAAAAAGTTCTTGTTAATGCTTGACTGTAGGCTAAAATGAAATCTGACATGGATACCCTAACTGCTAACATGCTAGTAGTGATGCTAGCACAATGCTCACGTTTTTTCCCTTTAATTAAGCAGGTATACAAAACAACCAAGGTGTACATTGTTACAATAGTATATAAAACATAAAAAGACAAAATGAGTATATAGTGGTACAGCATTATGTAATATTGTATACAGAAATGAGTGTTTAAGTAAAAGTGTAAAGTAAAAATACGAATGTTTAAGGAGTATAGAAAAAACATTTTCAACAAAATTAAGAAAAAGGCCAAGCCCTTTACCCTACAATTTGAGATCTCCAATAAAACTTGCCTCTAACTTTACTCTGTCTTTGAAAACATTGATGTTTATGTTTATTATTATCTATCTAGCTTTTGGATAGATAGATATAACTTAAATTTGCAGTTGTGATTTTGGCATCAAACAACCATAGGGTGAAAAATAACATCGTATTTTGGTATGGTCATACTGTCTATGTCCTTTGCAGGCTTTGCAAACATGGCACGTGGGCATCAGAAGGTTCAGTCGCAGCAGAAGAATGCCAAGAAACAAGCAGAAATGAAGAAGTCCAAGGGTCATGACCAAAAGACTGCAGCCAAGGCAGCACTAGTCTTTACATGCGCTGTGTGCAGGGTGAGTATGAAACTCGTAATGCCCCTTTGGACATTTTTGCTACGCTAAGTGTGCATTATGAGTTGATTTGTATCGTTTTTATTTTATTCTGCAGTCTCAGATGCCAGACCCCAAGACCTTCAAGCAGCACTTTGAGAGCAAGCATCCAAAAAGTCCATTGCCCCCTGAATTGGAGGGAGTGGAAGCTTAAACAATTTCACCGGATACCAAACTTGAGTTTTTTGAATTTGTGCATCAACACTGATCTTGTTCTACTTTGACAACAATGGATGATTGAATATGACGTGATTTCCATCGTTTAGAATATAAAGAGGCTTGGTTGCCTTTGGTGCAATCTTTCTACCCTTCCAGTCCTGTTTGTGTTTGTGCTTATATGGATGTGGAAGTGAAATTGAAATACTGGGTTGTTCAGGGATTTTAATGATCTAAATGAGTGAAAATTTGTCTTCAGTCTTGGCATATAAGCAAACTCTGAAATCACTCACTGTCCATGGTGTCTTGCACACCCAGGAATAAATCTTGCTGCTAGCTGGTGTACCTCTTCAACAGAGTTCAATTGATTGTTTAATTACCACTTAAAGCCAACTGGGCTGGTAAGGTAAATGATGTAGAGCAAAGCACAAGTTTGGATTATGTTGGATTAAATTAAATATGAACAAAACCTTTTTAGAGTGTTCAGATTCGATTTTATAATTGGCCTCAATTCAGTGTCATTTGTAATAAGTGGGGGGCATTTAATTTCACCAGCCTGTCCACAATGCTATATGCCCACTGTACTGCATCTTTTCATCAAGTTGATTATAAATTTGTCATAAAAATGTTGGCATTCAAGCAGCTACTTGTCCTAAAGGTATTAAATAATAGTTGATGCTTGTCAACAACATTTTTATGCTTAATGATTTTTGCGCTCTGTGATGTAATATAGCATTTTATTAAAATTAACTTTGTTGTATTTTTTGGTATTTTTTTGAATGCATTTGCTTCGATAAACAATAGTTAGATGTTTATGGTATTAGCTATGACAGGTACACTAAGAAAACAGATGGAGAATCAATCACCAAAATGGAAATAAGGAAGTCAAAACTAAAATGAAGTGTCATTAAAAGCAAACATATGGTTACCCTAATTGCATTAGTTTACAATAAGCTTAACTAAAACTTGGCTTTAATTTAGTAGGTACAGTTAAAGAGTAACATAATTTCTTGTGTAGCTAATCACAAAAAAAAAAAACATTGGACAAACTCGATTAAATATTTTGAATTTTACCAAAAATCTAACAATCCCTATTTGTGTGTGGGCCACAATCTGTCATTTATGTATAATGAATCTTGCAGTTGACTTCTTGGTTTGAATTAAATTGCCCCTGACCTGAATGTGTTACCCAGATGAATGGTTGTGGACCTCACTGTGGTCTAACTTCCTCACACATAACCCACCTTTTTTTCTATGACCTGTCATGTTAAAAAACACATTTTCATTGACACACATGCACACATTTGCTAGGTTTGTGAGACAGAATGTAGGTTTGGGAGCAGGAAGAACAGATGCACTTGAGCGTTGTTGGAATTAAAATCTATTAATAGTTGCCATAATTAGGTGAAACTAAAATCAGATTCCCAGCGGTTTAAGACTAAATTAGTTGAAGACTCTGCACCGTGATTTTCTCATTGTAATGTGGTAAAGAGGTGGTATTGCGCTTATTGATTTTCTCATTGTAATGTGGTAAAGAAGTGGTATTGCGCTTATATTAAATGATGATGTGAACACATTTACTTCATAAATGTATGCAAAATATTCAATGACTCACTCTCAGGGACTTAGCATTTTAAGAATACTAGGATTTCTTTTATTAAAATATCCTGTAGCTAATTGAGGGATAACCCAATGTCACACATGTTTCAAAGAGTCTAAACGTCAAACTTCTTCAAACATTTACAAAATAACAGACTGGTGTCAAGAGCCACCAGTTGATCAACACTGATTACTTTCAGTGTAAATATGTCTGTGTGTGTGTATAGATATATAGATATTCTGACTCTTGTGTGACTTAAGGGGTTCTGAGCTGTCAGGCGTAGTTTTTTTATGGTTAAATGCATGTCGTACTTTTACATTTTTGCCCATTTAAAGCCCACCAATTGTTTAAAGTCCTTATTTTCGCTGTGAGAACATTTACGTTTATTCTCCAATGCCGTCGTTTTCCACGGTTTCCTGTTTTTTCTTCATAACGAGGTAACAGTTTCATGTGAACACGACGCACTTCCGGGTCCCGAGTGACAAAGCTGTTTAAAAAAAAGAAAAAAAGCAAATAAATCATTGTTTTTCCACAGTTAAATGTATCTATATTTGTATTTACATATAACATCTTTGATAAAAAATAATTTTGTCTCTTACGACTCTGACGTCATCCGTTCCGGGTGTGACCCCTGCCGCTGTAGTGTTAAATGGGACGGAAACCCCGTGGCTGAGCCTGAGATCTCCGCAGCTGTGTGACGGGCAGCCAGGCAAAAAGAAGGAAATACCAGACTCTCTAGAAGGGACATTGTCTTACAGGTCAGTACACGCTTATTTACCATTCTTAAACCAATGTCTTAACACATTAACGCACTCCCAGTCGAATCCTGTAGATAGCCACCATGTCGCTGGTAGAGAATGTAATATGCAGGGGAAAGCCAGCGAAGCTTCGTAGCCTGTCATTGTTCGGCTCTGTCTGAATGAGAAGCATCATTGTACTGTAACGCATCTATTGTTGTATTTCCCCCTTGATATGTTACCAACACGATAGCGTGAATCGTCTCGCATTAGCAAATGCCAATTTGACTGTAAAGTCGGGGTTTTAGATTAATATGTTCATAGATAGCTCTCTTTTTTTTTTTGTTTTCCAGGAAGCGAAAAGGGCGTTTACCCTGAATTGGACAACAAACAAGGCAGCTTTTATTTACTCACAATAATACCCCCCGTTGTCTGCTATTTGTACATCTATACATTACTGAAACACTACTAATGTAATATTGCTATTTTTTATGTCTTTTTGTGGAACCCTTTTTCGGCCGATGGGGCAGGTGTGTGAGAGGCGTGAAACTGGGTGGGCGACATTCCTCTGAAGGGCGCAGGTGCCTGAAGTTTCTGACAAATGTCTGAGTCCTTCTGGGATTTTAATTTTGAAAAACTGAATTACAAAAAAAGAAGGAAAGTGCTTGAACAAAGGGTTTTGTTGTAGTTTCACAAAGTATTATGAGATGGCTTCCACATATTTTTTTTTTTTAAATAAGGAACTAGAAAGGATGGTGCACTTTATTGATTCTGCTTGGAGTGAATAATCTTGGAATTCTTACATGTCTTTTCTAAGAAGAATCGGGTATTTAAAGTGCCCATTAGACATACTGGCTTGTTCTGTCAATACACATGCTTTCTCAAAGCGAATGTGGATCGATTTCCACCAACCCTTGCTTGTTTTAAGACAGTTCAAGGAACCTTCATTCTAAGCTGTGGAAGATGGTTTGGCAAAAAAACCACCAAAAATGTCACCATGCTGTTGTCCACTTGTAAGAAAAGATAGTCACCCTCAGCCTTCTCTCCTGTTCCTCATTACTTTGTTTTTACCCTCCCCTATTAGTGCGCTACATTACCAGTTAAGTCAAATTGTTGGAATAGGGTTTAAAGGGTTAAGTGTCAAATAACTCTGTCACCAGCAATGGGCTCCTTTTTTTAGGCTTTAGTGCATTCACCCTGGCAGAAATTACATTACACATTCATCAGTTTTACTAGTAGTACAAGCAGTTATAGTAGTAGTAATGGCAGTATAACTTTAGAATTACATTAAATTGTTCATATGCCTCATTGCTGTTCAGTTTGAAAGACGTGTACAAGATGGAATGGTCTGCATTGTATTACGTTGATTTAGAACTGATTGGTTGTTGCTGTAGTATTTTATCCTGAGAATTTGGTGAAATGTCTTTATTTCTATCTAATTCTTTTTCCTCCTTACTCTTTCCATCCACACAGAAGCCATGGTAGACAAGGAAATGCAGGTGAGGAGGGCCAAAATAGCCGAGCAGGCTGAGCGGTACGATGACATGGCTGCGGCGATGAAGCTAGTGGCTCAGAGTGGTGGGGCACTCGAGAGTGAGGAGCGCAATCTTCTCTCAGTAGCCTACAAGAATGTGGTGGGTGCAAGAAGGTCATCCTGGAGGGTAATCTCCAGCATTGAGCATAAAACTGAAGTTGAAGATAAGAAGAAACAGGCTGGAGAATACAGGCAGAAGATTGAAAATGAGCTCAAAGACATCTGCAAGGAGGTCTTGGTAAGTAGCAGCATCATTTATTTGGTGGTCACTGAGTTAGGACTAGAAGCATTATGTGTAAGATAAAAGCTTTGTTTTGAATTTCTGACAAGAACAGCAGCAAAGTTGAAAGAGAAGGTTCATAAGACAGTGGTGAAACCTGCTATCATGCATGGTTTAGAGCAGGGGTCACCAACGTGGTGCCCGGGGTCACCTGGTAGCTCCCATGGACTACCTAAGGTGCCCACAGGGTATGTTCTAAAAATAAAACTAGTCAACAAGGGGATGAAAAATTGTACTGTTACTGTGCTTTTTGAATCAGTTACAATGTTGCAGTGATATTCAAATGGGTTCAATGACAGTGATAAGAAGAGTGTCTACTATTGTATGTCCCAGAACTAATTATTATTACATTGTTGGGGAAGTATCAAACAAGTAGCTCTTCGTAATTACTAAGTGCCCTTGAAGTAGCTCTCAGTTTCAAAAAGGTCGGTGACCCCTGGTTTAAACACAGTGGCTCTGTCTAATAGACAATTGCGATGGAGGGAGCAGGTGACCAGGATGGAGAGCTTTAGAAATGAGCAGATCAGAGGAATGACATAAGGGAGGAGATAAAGAAGAGGTGAAAATTAGACACTCCAATAAAAGTCCTGTTTTTTGAGTTTTTGTCCATCTCACGTCTAATTTTCAATGATATTTTATGCATTATTATTATTATTATTTAAGTAATTATGAAGGCTGTGCATCAGTCTTTTTTCACTAGGTGATGCTGCTGCCTCTTTACATGACTTTACGTATTATTTGTCATTTCCCCCTTCAGGAGCTGCTTGATGAGTACCTAATTAAGTCTGCTGAAGGAGATGTTGAAAGTAAAGTATTCTACCAGAAGATGAAAGGAGACTACTATCGCTACCTGGCTGAGGTGGCCAACGGCGACAACAGTGAAAGTAGGTGAAGCACTCAACAGACACAACTTTTATTTCTTGAATACGTCAACATTAAACCACATGTTCCTGAAAAAGTTCAGCAAGATACCTTTATCAGACCTTGGAAATATTTGGGTCTGTATAAAACGGCTGTATCTCCTATCTGTTTTCTTGTAGACATCAAGATGTCTGAGGAGGCCTACAACGAAGCCTGGGAACAGAGCAAAAAAGAAATGGAATCGACAAATCCCATTCGCCTGGGGCTGGCCCTTAACTTCTCTGTTTTCTACTATGAGATTGCAAAATCACCTAAAAAGGCCTGCGAACTGGCCAAAGCTGTAAGGAGTTATCTTTATTTTTAACTCACTTAGCAACAATTTACATCAATGATTATTTGTGTGAAATGCTGAGAATGTGGTCCGTAAATAGTGGATTGAGTGTAAATAGTTTTTTTTCTCAAACAACTTATTTGGTGCTGTACTTTCTAATAGGTTAATTGAAATTGGGGAATAAATGTTGTATTTGTGTCAGACCCTGTGATGTCTTTTCTGCTTTCTTCTAGGCCTTCGAAGAGGCCATTGTTGGTTTGGGAGATAATCAAAGTGACACCTACAAAGACAGCACCCTAATCATGCAGCTTCTCCGAGACAATCTGACGGTAAGTGCGCTTTTGAACATGTTATTATCCCTTTTCAATCCTCTTCCAAAACAGACCAGCAGTTAGCTGCCAGAGTCTGACTTCACTTTACACCACTATGTGCTGCTGTTGCTGCTGGAATTGTGGTTGATTTGCTACGTTCCTCAGTGAAGAAAATCTGATAGTAACAACCAATCAGGCGAAGACGATGGGCAAAAAAATTAAGGAAGCAAATTACTTTTTATAAATAGATATACAATACAACCAGTGGCTTTTTGATCCACTGTCTGAAACAAAGGACATGTGTGCAACACTAATTGCACATGTCGACCAGTTCTTCCATGATGGTTAAAAGGTAAAAAATTAAATCTGTTATCCTAAACAAGGCCTCATGTTCAGCTGTGTCTGAATGACTGGTGAGCTACGTCCTACTCCATGATGTTGGTGTTTTCTTTTCTGCGTTGTCAATTACTTTACATGAAGTCTTGTCCATGGAACATGCTCCCTGCTGTCATGAGGAAACGCCCATGACATGTTCCAACACATTTCTTTTTGCACCAAGCTCTTGAAGCAGTCCAGACATTACCTTGGCTTCTTTAGATGTCAGTGTCTAGTGTGATAGGTGAAGACCCAGAGCTTCTTGATGTCAGCTGAGTTTAGATATTTTCTCTGTAATTGCCTTTTCCTAAACATGAAATGGGGGCTTAACCCTGAGTTGGGGAGAGACATGTAGTCAGTACGTCTCGATGTCTATGATTCAAAAGTCACACATTTCGGGTTCTTCTGGATGCAGTTTTTTCCTCAGTTGAAGCTGTTTCGTTCTTTAAGGGTTGATGATTTAGACCTGGGGTACCAAAATTAAAAATTGGAACAAAGTCGCAGGCCAAACTTAATATTTATTGATGTTTTCCCTTATCTCCAGATATGTAATGTAGAATTTTTTCATATGAAAACAAAGTTTAATTTTGCGTAAACGTCTGAAATCTGAAACAACCAAAGCTTAAATTTGAAATAAAACACACATCAGTGGCAGGCCAACTCTAGTACACATTTGATATGATCTCGTGGGCCAAATATAATTACATTGCTGGCCAGATTTGGCCCCCAGACCTGAGTCTGACACTTGTGATTTAGAGTTTTTTTGTTTTATTCACAGCTGTCTTGTACCATCTCCCCTGTAGTCTGAATGTAGTGTCAGAAAGTGAAGGTTTTCACTCCTTGACTTAGGTTTTTGTTGTTGTGTTGTGTGTGTGTGTTTTTCCCCCTATAAAAATTGTTTCTCTGTGCTGCAGTTCAGTCAGCTGATATGTTGTGTGAATTGTAGATGTATGCTGTTCCTTATTGTGCAATAACCTCACTGTCTCCTTTCTTGCAGCTGTGGACATCTGAGGCAGCAGAACTAGGAGAAGAGGAAGCTAATTAAAAATATCTTTTCCTTTTTTTTTTCCTCTCACCAGCGTTTGTTTTTGTGTGTGTGTGTGTGTGTGTGTGTCTATATACGTATGGTGTGTGCGTGCACACAGATATGCATGTTTACACTCCACTCACGCGGTGTCTAGTACACTGTCCGTTTGGTATGAATGCTCCTGAGATGTGTATAGAATACATCTGTTTTCACCTTTTGGATGGGGGGCATAATTACATGTTTGTGTTGAACTGTTACATTAGCTTGAAAAACCTCCATATAAGCTTTTGTCCATACCCACCAATAATTGATTTCTGCAGTGACCATTCTTGATGGCAGGATTTGTTTCAGTAAAAACGATCAACAACCGTATGACTTTGTCGCCCTTTTGTTTTCCAGTGTAGCCGCTATTGATTTGCATTGTCTTTGCAGATGCTGCATGTAATCGCACAGTGGGTTCTATGTCTGTGCAGACACTGAACACTTCAATCTGTATCGACATCTTTGTTTAACATTCCATTTTCCTAAAATCCGCAGTCATGAAAATCTATTACTGTAATTTCCTTCAGCATTCCATTCTACACCACTGTTGCACAATTCTGTCACCTTTTGTATTTTACCATGTCAAATGTGCGTACAAATCTTCTACCATGTGCTTGTGTGTTGGGTTTTCTACACTTCCCTTAAGTCTTGGCATTTTCTTCTCCCTACTGTAGTGTGATGTAGAGATGTTCTCCGAAGAAGTTGTTTCTTTTCGCCTGGGATTATTTAAATCAGGTGTTCGTTAGCAACTTTTTCCTTGCTAAAACTGAATTAATCTTCAATATGAATTGACCAAATATAACTTGGTCAAAAGCTGCCCTACGGCTGTTAAGTAGTCACAAAGTAGTGTCCGTTTCTCCTGACCATATATATATATATATTTCCTTTTTATAATGGGATGCAGGATTCAGAGTTTGCAGTAAACACTCCGTTGGGTGCTGTCTGGCTTTTGTGTCAATGGAATTTAAACATTAAAATCAAGTGTGTTGCACAAGGTGTTTGTCTTTTATTTTGATAATGATTATGGAGTTACTATTAGACTGGCCATCCATTGTCTACTGCTTAGTCTTTTGCAGGGAGTCTGAAGCCAATCCCAGATGTCAACATATGAGGGTGGGGTGCACCCTGGACTGTCAATAGCAGGACCACATATAAAGACCACCATTCCCAGTCACATTTATACTTGTGTCCAATCAAACATGATCTTTAACATACATGTTTTTGGGCTGTGGGAGGAAACCACAATGATGATAAGGACTGCAGCATCTAACTTCAAATGTGTAGTCCTTTAATCAGTTGATTTTTTACAGTGTGAACAATACAGATTTTGATCAAAAGGCTAAAGAGTTCTAGGCATGTAAGTCATGTAAATGAATCAGTCATTGTAGCTCAGGTTCTGCTGTAATTGTTTCTGATTAGGTCATGAATTCCTGATTAGTAAATGGATTGTCATCAACTGAAGTACTGACATGTTCATCATACTGATTTGCTTGGGCCAATTACTGGCTGGAAATTGAGATTGGAAACCATTCCCTTATTTGCAACAAATTCCATTCGAAAAATTGTGATTGTCTGTCACAGGAACACAGTTGGTGTTGGTCTGTTGCTACATTGTTGGAGTATTTGCCCACCAGGATACAAAAAGCAAAATTGTAAAAACTGAACAAGTGTGAATGTAGCAGAGGAGAATAGATTGACAGTTATGGACCTGAAGAAACCTTGACATTTAGAGCTAAATGTCTGTCTAGAAGTAAAGGTATCTGTCCTTTGCTGGAACCCCTCCCCAGCTACCCCGTTTACACCTTGACTTATTGTAGGTAAAAACAGTATAATGTAAATGGCTTGGGGTGTGGAAACCTGCTGCGTTTACCATAACAACTGAGGTATCTCACTCATGGAAGTGAAAAACCTAAAAGGGGCTGACAAGGAGTCAGAGCTAAGGGAGGCTTTTTGGATGAGAGCAGAAATATTTTCAAGAAACAACAACCAGTTGAGTTGGCTAATTCAGAGCGTTCAAGGATAAAATGAACCAGATAACTGTGAACCTTCACCTGTATGATAATGCTAATCCTCCTAAACCCTCCACCCTACAAAAAAGACCGCCTTCTGAGTTTCCGAGTGTGTTAAGTTTCAGTTTTTAACCAAATGCATTTAAAACTATTAAACCAGTGAATACACAGTCCCTTATTGTTCTTCTACAGCATATGTGGTGTGTAATGTTCGTCTTTCACATAAATATTAACAAATAGGATTGTGTAGTAATAGGGTTAAAGTGCACTGAGATGTTGGGATTACAAGAAAGAATGTAAAACATGCCAAAATTAGTCATTAGAGATATAACAGGATGCAGCTTGAATTTATGTAAAATGAAATAGCATCTGATTGACGTGTTTATGTATGACATGGGCTTAAAAGGGAAGTCAGAAATAACACAACAGCAAGTTGAGGGCTGAAGAGTAGGATTTGTAGCTCCTTAGCCTAACCCATTTAGTTAGCTGACAAAAGCAGCTTGTGGTGGCCATCACCACAAGTCAACCTTACATGCAGCTCCTCCCATGATTCATTGTGAATGCATGTTGCTGGATAAAAGAGCAGAAAATTGAATTTATAAAGTTGCTGAGTAATAAAGACTGTGGTGACAATAAGCTAGTTCTTCAGTCTGTATTAACCAGTAGACATGATCAACCTGTAGCCTTATAGGAATGTCCATTACTTTAATGCATCTAAAATTGTTT